ATGGCATAAACCCAGGAGGCGGAGCTTGCAGTGAGCCGAGATCACACCACTGCACTCCAGCCTGGGGACAGAGGCAGAGTGAATGATGACTGGGGCATCTTAAGAGGAGTTCTAGGGTGTTTCTTTCTGCATAGGTATCACTTCTCCCTCCTACCCACAACTGACAAGTGCCCATCCACTCTAGCATTAGAGATGCTACTAATATGTGAATTTTTGGTGGTCCCTCCAGGTGAGCCTTCCCAGACTTTCCCTTTTCCAGGAGCTCAACCTCCTGTTCATGTCTAGTTGTCTACCTACTCTAACAGAGCCCACTATCCTGTGTCTTTCCCAGAAATAGTGAGGGAACAATGAATTGGAAACCATAGCAATTGATATGCATGTAGATGAAAACTTTACAACTTACACAAATAATCACTCAAAATCATCCTTACACTAAAAATGCAAAATTATACAATTTCTAGAAGAAACTATAAAAGAAAAGCTATGTGCCTTTGGGTTTGGTAATGAATTTTAACAAATGGCACAAAAGGTTGATATACACAGAAGAAATGACAATGTGGATTTCTTAATATTTAAAGGTAATACTCTGGAAAATACCTTGTAAGGGAACAAAAAGACAAGTCACGTATTGGAAAAAAATATTTGCAAAATACACATCTGAGAAAGAATTTGTATTCAAAATACATACAGAATTCTTAAAACTGAACAATAAGTTAAACAGCCCAATTAAAAATGCACACAGATCTGAATGGACACCTCACCAAAGATGATCTACAGAAGGCAAGTAAACATACCAAAAGATGCTCAACATAGTAGATAACTGAAAACCACAGTGAGATAGCACAGCTGGTCTATATCTGTTAGAACTGCTAAACTCTTTCAAAAATGACAAATTGCTGGAGGAAAAACAAGAACTCTTTTCATTGCTGGTGGAACACAGTGTATAAGACCAAAATATGCCACCCTAAAATATAATGGTAGGAAACCAGAATATGCCACCCAAAAATATGTCCCTTTGGCTTAAGAATTATTCCAAGCTGATTATTTTGGAAAAAATGCCAACAAAGGAAGTTCTTAAAACAGAGTAGAAGTTACCCTTGTGTAAGGAAAATTTACATCTATAAAGGAAATCCCCATTTAAAAGCTACCTCTCTCAGCACCAAGAACAGAAGGATAACTAAATCACTAAAGAGTCTTATGAATAAGATATACATGTTTTTAAACTTTTCTGTTTTTCTCATTTTAATCTGTCATTTGTTACAGAAGGTCCCATCTAAGAATTCCAAAAACACAGAAAATTATTTTTCCTCCTCTATTACAAGTTGGGCAGTTTTTCCCAAAGCTAAACAGTCTCACCTTACAATCCAAAAATCACATTCATAAGTATTTTGACAACTACTTTGATGTTATTTCTAAATAAAAGCTACCATGCAATTATTTACAGAAGCTCTATTCATAATGACCAAAGGAAAAAAAGAATCAGAAAGTCTTATAGTAGATGACTGTGTGGGAATCCACTCAGACATCAAGAGTTCTTATAAGGATTATTTAAATGAAAACATTTGAGATACTGAAGATAAAGGAAGAAATCTTACCAGAACTTTATCCAATTAAAGCAGAGCTCCCAGAAAAATACAGCTGCCGTTAACTCCATCCAAGGAGTTTCTTGCAAATTCAGCTGCCATGAAGACAGTGTACTCTTTCCCATTAGCATTGATAAATGAAAATGAAATCCTAAGCTCCCAACTGACTGAACAGACCAACTCTTGGCTGAGGGAACCCCAGAGTAACTTTCAAAACTGAGTTCTCAGCTTGGCCAGGATGGGATGATGGGGGTCAGATGCACCTCATTATACCCCCTCGTTTGCTAACCATGATGAAGCTTTCTTCCCTAAGGATTAAACAGAAACCAGCCCTTTCAAAGGCACTGCCACTGATATCAACCTCTCCTTTCTTGCCTAATAAGAGACCACCCATGACAGAGAGGTTCTGGTCTGTGTACAGAGGATGCACAGAGCGAGTTTTCATGTCCTCTGCTTCACCTTTTAATGTCAGAAGGCAGAAAACTCTACCCTGGGATCGTGCTAACCCTGCCATTTTTTTTCATGGGACCCATGAAGAAGCAAGAAACTCAATTGCACAAGCATGCATTTCTCCTTTCATAAATATTCATGACTCCTCCTAGAGTTTATTAAATATATGTTTTTGCCAATTCCACTCAGCATAAATTACTATTTCCTTTACATCTCCCTTGAAGCATCTGTTTCTGGCTTCTGGCTGGAGGCTATGCTTCCCAGTCTGTCAGAAGGACAATCCTGCAGGCTGCAACCCTTTGTAGGAAATAAATCTCTCACTGGGTGTGGCGGCTCATGCTTGTAATCCCAGCACTTTGGGAGGCCAAGGTAGGTGGATCACCTGAGGTCAGGGGTTTGAGACCAGCCTGGCCAACATCATGAAACCCTGTCTCTACTAAAAATACAAAAAATTAGCCAGTCTTGGTGGTGGGCATCTGTTATCCCAGCTAATTGGGAGGCTGAGGCAGGAGAATCGCTTGAACCCAGAAGGTGGAGGTTGCAGTGAGCCGAGATCACACCATTGCACTCCAGCCTGGGCAACAAGAGTGAAACTCCATCTCGAAAAAAAATAAATAAAAATAAAAATAAATAAATGTCTCTTTTCCAAATTTATGAATGTCACCAGTCTTCTGTTGACAGCATTAAAAGGTTCAAAAAGACCTTCCATACTCTCCCACAAAAGCCCTAGAAATTGTCATTTTGTTAATCATTTTGGATGCTGAAGAACTTGTAATCCAATGAGTAGAAAAGTTGGTACCCCATTTATGGCTGTAAACCTGCCAATTCTCAGGAGTTTGTATAAGCCTAAATCTGAAAGGATCTCATCCCATTAGGATTCTTGTCTCCGTTTCTGTTGCCTTTGCCCACTGGCTCTGCCAACATAGGTCTTTCTTTCTCCTTGGCTATCTTTGGATATGGGGGCTCCATCTTCTGTACCACCTTAGGGAATGCCTTTTGCATGCATGGCTAAGTCATTGAAAAGCCTACAATTTCAGTAACATTTTGAGTGAGTACTCTGAAGCTGGGTTGGAATCTCAGGCTTCTTTGTCTGGAAGGTAACTCTTGGGCTACAAGTTTCTTATCCTAGCTTTGGTTTTGAGGCCTCTGTGTTCTCCTCTTGGGTTGGACGTTATTCCTGGCTTTTTGTCTCATGGTGTCTCTGTGATCTTGATCTTGCTCCTTTCATGGGAACTTCTCAGTTGACTAAATTCTCCCTTCTCAAACCTCTGCTGACTATGTGTTCCACCAATATGGTACTAATTCTGTCTACTTCCTTTCCTGTTTGCATGACTTTACTAGGAATAAGAATTATTTAGAACTTTAATGGCTCCTTTGAGAAAATTGTTGTCTTCCAAACTGCCTCCTTTTAGACCTTTCCCTTCCCGTTTGAGTCTCTCAACTCCCTATAATCACTGAAATTTTAGGCACCCTGCTCCATGCCTTGGAGGCTCTCAACATGCTCAAGAATCTGCAAAAGCAAACACCTGGGGCTGAAAAATAAAACAGAAAAAAAAATATTTCTCAGCCTCCGTAAGATTGTATGTCAAAACAAAAGAAAATCTTACAAATCTCCAAAAGTATTAGCGAGAAAAAAGCTTTAGCCCTCATATGAAGAAGGTAAAAACTTGTTCCATTTTCCAGAAACACAGTTATAATACAAATAAAAAATGGGGCAAAGACAAAATCCAAGTCTTCTGTATAAACTAGTGAATTTTGTATTATTGTAATCACATTAGTCAGCGTTCTCCAGAAAGGCAGAATCAATATGATATATGTAGATAGATAGATGAGAGAAGACTCATTAGGGGAATTGGTTCACATAATTATGGAGGCTGACAAATTCCAAGATAGCCTGTCTCCAAGTTGGAGAACCAGGAAAGCACCAAGTTGGAGAACCAGGAAAGCGTAGCATGGCTCAGTCCAGACCCAAAGGACTCAGAACGAGGGAAGCCAATGGTGTAACTCTCATTCTGAGGCCAAAGGCCTGAGACCCTGAAGTTCTGATGTCAAGGGCAGGAGAAGAAGGATGTTTCCATTTCAGAAGGAGAAAATTCCCCTTTCCTCTTCCTTTTTGTTCTATCTGGGTTCTCAACCAATTGGATGGTGCCTGTATTCATCCATTTATACACTGCTATGAAGAAATACCTGAGTCTGAGCAATTTATAAAGAACAAAGAGGTTTAATGGGCTGACAGTTCCACATGGCTGGAGGGGCCTCACAATCATGGTGGAAGGGGAAGCAAAGACGTCCTTCTTCACATGGCAGCAACAATGAGAAGTGCTGAGCCAAACAGGAAAAGCTCCTTATAAAAACATCAGATCATGAGAACTCACTCACTATCATGAGAACAGCATGGCAGTAACCACCACCATGATTCAATCACCTCCCACTGGGTCCCTCCCACGACATGTAGGAATTATAGGAACTACAATTCAAGATGAGATCTGAGTGGGGACACAGCTAAACCACATCTGTGTCCTTCTACATTGGGTCAGGGTTATCTCAGTGTCTTCCAGAAACACCCTCACCCATATGCCCAGAAATTGTGTTTTACCACCTATGTGTGTCTCTTAATCCAATCAAGTAGATGTCTAAAGGTAACCGTCAGAATATTTATGCCTGATTCATGGCTGAAATTTCAGGATGAAAGCTATGAAATCTCTATTTGTGTTTGTATGTCTATTAATGTGTGTTATGTATATGTGATATTTTCTTAACTCAGGATAGCGTTGCAAAATTCATTTATAAAATCCTTTAAAAGTGCTCTATTCTAATTTGGCTTGGAAAAAAATAAGCATTTATAAATAAATATTAACCAAACTCCTAGAAATATAGGAACTGATCAAATGTTTTTTAAGTTAACGCGATTTGGATAAAACTTAGTTAAATAAGGTTAATATAATATTTTTGGTGTAATAAAACAACTATGTCTTCAAAGTTACCACTATTGAATATGAAACAAACATAATTTCCTATTCTGCTTGAGTTCTACTCAAATAAGCTAATATTATACTTACTAGAAATGTAAAATCTTAAAGCTTATAAATTTGATTCTAATTAAGTTGTCATTCTTATGAAAAACATTATTTCTTTTTTATGGTGAAAAGATACACATATATTTAGAGTTAGCCAGCTGAACTCGGTTTAGATGATCCCAATTTTGTTGCAACATCCAAAGGAGCATCCAACATCATAATCAGGAGACAGTCGAACATATGCCTTCTTCTCTTTATCAGGTCGAATCAGGATGTTGACTGTGGCCACATCCATGTCCCAGAGCTTCTTCACAGCCTGTTTGATCTGGTGCTTGTTGGTTTTAACATCCACAATGAACACAAGCATGTTGTTTTCTTCTGTCTTCTTCAAGGCTGACTCAGTGGTCAGCGGAAACTTGATGATAGCATAGTGGTCAAGCCTGTTTCTCCTGGGGGTGATCTGCTGAGGATATTTGGGCTGTCTTCGGAGTCTCAGTGTCTTGGGCCACCTCAAGGTGAGTGAAATGTGGATCTTCTTTTCTGTGTGTTGCTGTGGACACCTTTCAACACTGCCTTCTTGGCCTTTAAAGCTTTGGCTTTGGCTTTGGCTTTAGGAGGGGCAGGAACTTCCTTCTTCACTTTCGGTGCCATCTTGTGAAAAGCAAAAAACATTATTTCAAAAATAATTTGTTTACTGTAAATCTGCTTAATAGTAGTTTCCAAAATACTTTTTGGTAATTTTTAACCTTAAAGTTAAGCTAAGTAACAGATTTGCTTTAAATATCTAGACCATTTATAAATAAGATACAGTACTAAAACATTAATTACTGAACATAAATAATTCAGGTTTATATACTTTTCGCTTCTTATTTTTACAGAGAGACTAAAGATATTTTAGACCATTAATAAACATGTTTTTGTCTACCACGATGAGAAATTGTACGATGAGGAAACACATCCCTGTAGATGTTGGGAGATGGTATACTCATACATTTTCTAACCTACTATGGAATGCTAATATATGACAGTTTATAACTGTTTACTTGTTAGTTTTATCTGGAAAATAAATGATTACTAAGTATTACAATTATAATCAATATGTGTAAATAAAACTACTAGAAGCAATAGAATAACTAGAAACAACTCTATGGAAAGCATGCAAGAAAAGTAGGGCATGTTTCACAAGTAAAGAAGGATGTATTTTTTATAAGGAAAACCTTACAAAAGATACAAATAAAAAGAGATATCTAGGCTGGGCACGGTGGCTCAAGCCTGTAATCCTAGCACTTTGGGAGGCCGAGACGGGCGGATCACGAGGTCAGGAGATCGAGACCATCCTGGCTAACACGGTGAAACCCCGTCTCTACTAAAAAATACAAAAAACTAGCCAGGCGTGGTGGCGGCGCCTGTAGTCCCAGCTACTCGGGAGGCTGAGGCAGGAGAATGGCGTAAACTCGGGAGGCGGAGCTTGCAGTGAGCTGAGATCCGGCCACTGCACTCCAGCCTGGGCGACAGAGCTAGACTCCGTCTCAAAAAAAAAAAAAAAAAAAGAGAGATATCTAACCTTCCCTGTGTTATATTTGTATGGGTAAAATGTTATGTTTTCAGAAATTATATAAAATTCCTGGAAATTTGTCAATGTCCTCCTTATCCATGCTATGTGCCAGTATAGAGTTATGAGTCATAATTCCAATTATTATTTTAAATGTGCTGGGTGCAGTGGCTCATGCCTGTAATCCCAGCACTTTGGGAGGCCGAGGTGGGTGGATCACAATGTCAGGAGATCAAGACCATCCTGGCTGACACAGTGAAACCCCATCTCTACTAAAAATACAAAAAAAATTAGCTGGGCGTGGTGGTGGGCACCTGTAGTCACAGCTACTCGGGAGGCTGAGGGAGGAAAATGGCGTGAACCTGGGAGGCGGAGCTTGCAGTGAGCCGAGATCACGCCACTGTACTCAAGCCTGGGTGACAGAGCGAGACTCTGTTTCTAAATAAATAAATAAATGAATAAATAAATGTTGTATGCCACAGAAAAAATCAAATATCCTTGTCAACTGTGGTATAATCACAGCCATTTCATACTCTTTGTCATTTAGATATTATTTCCCCCTGATGCTTTCCTGAAAGCTCCTGCGATCAGCTACAGGTCAGAATGTTCATCTCCGATACAGGACTCCCTCTGAGACTCATGGAAAAGAGTATGACAGGTTCTCTGGTTAAAGACTTCTGAAGATATTGCTTAAATAACTTTAAGACCATACACTTGACTCAGTGAAGATCTCCAGAAGCCTGGTGGAGAAATTGATGGGGTCATGAGACTGCTAATCCAAGATCCAGCAAGACTGGAATTGATTACATGGCACTGAATGAACTGATGAAAATTGATTATCATTTTATAGCTTTTTAGAGCATTGCTGGTTCTTTAATGTTCTAGTTTCTGAATTTAAGAAATCTCTTTCTCTTAATCTAACTGTAACTTACAACAATTTAGTAGATTATACTTTTGTAAACAGAAATGAAGCATTTATCTTTTTTTCCCTGCCTAATCTCTCCAGAATTTTGAAATTCTTACTGAATACTCTTATTTTCATGATGATATAGTTATTAGCAAAAGTCCAGTAAGAATCTGTTCACCTTATAACAGGACATAATTGGAAAATTTGGTTATATTATCAAGGTTTTTACTGGAATATCATATTTTGGAAGTGTACCTAACATCAGTTATGACCAGCAATTTTAAGGAAGTAAGGTTGATTATTATGGAGACAATGCTTACAAAGCACTGTGAGAAATGGGAAAGTTCTTCTTCAAAGATTGTAAAAAGTCACAATTTCTTACTACAAGATTGCTATCCACTATTTTGTGTGTGTGTGTGTGTTCCAAATCAGTTGTCCTAGCTTGCTCCGGCATGCCTGGACAGAACTAGACAAGCCCCAGCCCATAGTATATGCCATTCCTTATTTGGAGATGCTTCCTTAACTATCCTTGGCAACTTTCTTTTCTTTCTTTGTCTGTTCCCCTTACCTAATTAAGAAAGTTTTAAACTAATAGCCAACTCGGTAAAGTGTAAAATATGAGGTCCTATTCCAGCCAATGGTAACTGAACACAGCAGTAGGGTAGACACATCAGGTTATAAGTAACTCTGTCTCCTTTGTTCGGTGTGCTCTTGTGGATGGACAGCTATTGAGTAGCACCCTTTCTGCAGAAAGTAAAACTCGCCTTGCTAAGAGATCATTTGTTCCCATGTTAATTCTTTTTTGGGGGGGGGGGTTAACCAGAAACTTCATTCCCAACAGCACTCTGAGAAAAGTCAGCCTGATACTTACATTACAGGGTTCACAGCCTTACAGGTTAGTAAAGAAGGTTATTTCCTGGTAGGCCCAGGAATTTAGGGATATTTTGGGGGCCTCAAGAAGAGAGGAATTCACACAAAGCTATAAGGACTGCAGTTGAAATTTGATAGTATGTTCTTAGCTTGGCTTTTAGACTGAATAAGGCCTTTAAAAGTCAAATCTGAGATTCTGTATGAAAACTTCCAGCAAAGAAACTTGAAAGTACCTATGTGGTCATCTCCTGTTCTTGTTGCACTTACGTAAATAATCAAGCAAAATCTAACAAAACTATACTTAATTTTAAAGCAAGAATAGTCTTACTTTGATTATGATCAAAAATGATGGTTACTACAGAGAGAAATTTTATGTTTCAATGGAAAACTGAAACTTGGCCGGGCATGGTAGCACATGCCTATAATTCCAGCACTTTGGGAGGCCAGGAGTTCAAGATCAGCCTGGGCAACATGTTGAAACCTCATCTCTACCAAAAATGTAAAAATTAGATGGGCACGATGATATGTGCCTGTAGTCCCAGTCAATCAGGAGGCTGAGGAGGGAGGATCGCTTGCACCAAGGAGGTAGAGGTTACAGTGAGCTGAGATTGTTGCACCTTTGCACTCCAGCCAGGGCGACAGAGCCAGACCCTGTCTCGAAAAAAAATTTTTTAAGGAAAGCTATAACTATTGTGGGTTATCAGATTCTAGTCTTGTTTCTTGTTTTGGGGCTATTTCTACCTCTTTGTATACTAGATCCTGCCATCTGATGAATTTTGTCCTACAATGATACTTGTGGAATAAGAAGCCAAGTATTGTCTCTCCTACTAATGTATCTATTGTCAGTTAATTTGAAGGTCTCCAACCCTGGAACAAAGTTAGAAGAGAAAGGTTTTGCTCCCTAAAATGCATAACCAAACTGTGGTACTTTCATGCAATGGAATACTATTTAGCCATAGAAAGGAACAAGCTATCAACTAACACAAAGACATGAGTGAATCTTGTATGCACATTGCTAAGTGGAAGAAGACAGTCTGAGGAGAATACACACAGTGTGACCTCATTTAATGAGACACTGCAGAAGGCAAACTACACAGATGGGAAACCATTGGCTCCATGGGGTGGGGGTTTGAAGCATTCCATATGATACTTTAATAGTGGGATACCTACCACAATGCATCGGTCAAAATATGCAGAATTTTACAACCAAATGGGTAAATCAAACTATTCAAATTAAATAAAATTACTCAGGATGTGGAGTATCCCAGGACAGAATACATCATGTGAAAAAGAATTTAACTATGCTACAAATTACTATGGTTTGGATGTGGTTTGTCCCTGCAAAAACTCGTGTTGAAATTTGACCCCCAATGTGGCAGTGTGGGGCGGTGAGGCCTAGTGGAAGGTGTTTGGGTCATGGGGACAGATCCCTCATGAATAGATTAATGTCCTCCATGGGGATGAGTGAGTTCTGCTCTCACAGGAATGGATTAATTCCTGCAGGAGTAGGTAGTTAACAAGAGTCTGGGTTCCTTGGCTTCCCTCTTGCTTTTGTTCTTGGTATGTGATCTCTGGTGCACCCCTTGCTCCCCTTCCACTTTCCACCATGAGGTGAAAAAGACTGAGACTCCACCAGATGCAACTGCCCAATCTCAGACATTCCAGCCACCAGTATTGTGAGCCAAAAGGACCTTTTTTACTTATAAATTACCCAGCCTCGGATATTCTGTTACAGAAGCACAAAACAGACTAAGACACAAATGTAGGAAAAAACTCACTGAAGCTGTAGGGAAAATGGTGTTGACCTAAGTCACTTTGAAAATGAATAGAATCCGTATGCTGAAAGCAAACGAACCATACTTCATCACTGGATTCTATTTTATAAAGTTCTTTCCAACAGAAGCAATTGTGAACAATTGTAAAACCACAGTATCTGTATCTGGAATAAAACAATGATTTACATAAGTCACAGATGGTAGGAACCAGGTCTCTCACTGTTGAAGTGGGAGGTTACAAATTAGCAAGGGGAGAAGGCTAGAATGATTCATGTTATAGTAGATCAGAGGTGGAGACATGAACGTAAACTTATGTTTAGTTTAATACAGATACACACAGTTCTACATAGAAAACTTTACAATTAGGTGTGTATAGGTAGGTTAGACACACACATATACTTCCTAGCATTGCTAATGAGGAACAAGTGCTCATTCAACCATGTGCTCATTTGGCAGCCAGATGTAAGTTTTCCTACCATTCTGAAAGGAATCAGGCTCTTTGAAGA